GGTCCCTTATGGACCGTTACCTGTTCTTGGCATCAGGGACCGTTAGTCACGTGACTTAGCCGCCCCCCTTGTCTCGAGCCTGGTTGTCCGTCAGACTGCGCTGTCTTTTCTCGTAAGCCTCATCCAATCATTTCGTGTTGACTGTAGATGTTCCATAACAGATATCTATATATAGTAGGGCTATGTTAAGGTGCTAGTCTCAGATAACAGGCCAGAGATAAAGGATGTGGTAGATGCCCTTTATAATAAATATAGAGCATACTATATATGGGTTTCATCTTATAACCATTAAGCAAACAGTTTTATTAAGGTCAGACATAAGCTAATTATTAAGGCACTCTAAATAATGACTACTAGAACTAGTGTCTAGTAGCAACGCCACCTCCTAGCAGTCCTTTAGGCAGATTAGAACACAGTAGGGGGGCTAATAGGGATAACACCCTTCCAGATGATTATAGGACAGGAGGTGGTTTTGCCAGTAGAACTAGAGGTCCTAACATAGCAGATGCTGCCATAGGAGGAGGTGTAAGACACTAGGGACCTAATTACCATAAGGGCAAGACAGATAGAGCAGAGGGATGAGGACACTACTAAGGCTGTTACAAGGGTGCAGTGTAAGCAGGAAGAAGGGGGGGAGGCCTTTAATAATAGGAAATAACTATGTTGCGAGCAAGGCCCGCGATATGCTCGTGCCGCCTAGCAGGCACTCGCGAAGCCATACAGCTCTGGGTCACGTGACAACATAATAATCTATGTACTAACCACCCAGGTCACGTGACACCTCGCTAGCTGCGACGCGCAATCGGATATTTCTATCCAGGCCTGCAACCCCCTATTCTAGTCCTTCAGCGAGTTCTTATTGTACATACCTAGTCATAGGTTTTCCTACGGTCTAGCCCGTAACAGAAATAGCCTTATAAAGGTGCTTCTATATAATAAGTACTAAGAATTCTATAAGATAGTTAGTCTAGTTAGCTAATTAGGAGCTATAAACTAGGTGTCACGGGCTAGAAGCCGGTCAACCTATGACCTAGGTTTGGACGGTAAGAAATCGCTAAGGGGTTCTAACTAGGGCCGCAACGGCCGAACAAGAAAAGATTGGTGCCTAAGGCAGCTCGCGAGTGCCGATAGGCTCGAGCATACAGCGGGCCTTGCCCGCTACACTAGGAGCTATAACCTCCTACTACACCTAAGATTTAATATAATTACCTAATTAGGTACTATAAATAGCCTTAATACTATTAGATTTATATAGCTTTACCTATTAGCTTAGCTAGGGGGGTATATTAATATAACTTACTACTTACCTATTTTAGATAATTTACTTATTCTTCCCTTCTTACTTATTCTTTCTATATTAATTTAACCTTCCCTTTATAGCATTAGATCTTGCTACTCTAGAAGGATCTAACCTCTTACCCCTAATATTAGTGTATATAGATATCATCAGATAGCCCCTATTCCAGTAGTATAAAAGGTACATCAGATAGCCTGTAGTTAGAAAGAATCAGACCTTCATTGCTTTTTACTTTGTATGTGAAATACTAGTGATTTCTGAACTCATGATGGTAAAGCAGTTTCCAACAAGATGTTATCCAAACATCCCCGCCGCTCCAGGAGGCCTGCTGGTATCAATCCTCCAACACCAGGGATGCTCAAACGCGGTCAATCTCCAGTGAACAAACATGGAAACTGAACCCTGCTTTCAACCGAATAGGCGTCTCAATATCCAAAGATACAGGAGGAGATGGAGAGCTAATAGAGGGGCTTCAAGAAAAGGGGGATTTCAGCTTGGAGGAAGGCATCTACGACAACCCTGGATCATGGATGACCATGCTAGCCACGCAGCCTCCCTGCCAGCGAATGCTGGTCGAATGCTACGGCGACTATTCCTATGACGATACAATGTAAAAAGCCCTCTGGCTTTTTACTGCAAACTCTTAAGCTGATATATTGCTTAGGTTCTATCTAATTGTATCCATGAGTCCATGACAGGCTGTCTCTTTATGGGCGACATCATGGCCGTTCTAGCAGAATGCCAGAATCGACAGCAATGCGGCCTAGATCGCTGGGCTGGAGTACTCCACTATACAGGCCGGTTAGTCCGATGGGAAGAGAGTTGTTGGGATACCTATCACTGGGTAGCTCTTGACAAAATGCCGGATAATGTTTCAATTAAAGTTGCGGTCGAGCTGCCTTGGGGATCAGCGGGGTGTCCTGCATTTTCCTTCGGCGCCTCTACGGCAGCGAAGACTTTCTGCATGAAATGATCCTGCATAAGATGATAACGGAACAAGGGCAAGAATATCAGTGGGACTATGGTTTGAGCGACCCTTCGATCAACTCTGTGTGCAAGACAAAGTACAAGGCAAATCTGTTGGTTGTAAGGGAGCATCAGGAGGGATATCTGTCCGCTTGCAGCAATGTCTTCCGCCTACTATCTGACGTGAAATAGTTAATAACATGACGGATTTACTTCACCGTCCTATTACTCAAGTCATTGAAGTTGGGTACAGCCATATACACATTCCTGCCTTCACCTAATGCATATCCTACACCCCGAGGTAATCGATGACTGTCATCTTATAGTATTGTATCTAAATACAATCCGATTATAGCTGTTCCGAGGCCTTTCTACATATAGTTTAGCCTTAGGGCTTTGGAAAGAAGACAAGAGTAAAAATATTTGCACCAGTTTTGCTATCAGGTGTAATACTTTGCATGGATAAGTATATCATACTGCCTATCCTCCTTCATTCTGATCTGTCATTACCTGGTGTGACACCCGGTGAGACTAGACTTGACAGCTCGAACAGATGGCGCTTCAGGGCTACCTCCAAGAAACATCGCTGAAAGCCCAAGAGGTTGTCATATAGTCTTACTCTCTACATTCTTGACTTCTTTTGTGATGTATGTCAGGAGGGTGCAGTTGCTGGCCTCCTTTTGGAAGCAGGTGTCCCATAACAAGGTCCCAAAGAAGGCACGAGCAGCTCAGCCTGCCCCATCAAAAAGCATGTGGGCTTTTTGGCTCAAGGGTTAACCTCAACTTTGGAATATGTAGGAAAGCAGAATAGATGTTTTAGCCTACTCACCGAGATGTCATATGTATGGCTCATAGTGTCACCTGTCTTTGTCAGTTAACTGGCTTAGGAGGATGAAGGGTTAGTGTATCTTTCGAGCCGTTTCCTCTTCCTCTCCCATTTCAACGTTCTAGTCCAATTCTTCACATGAACATGATTCGACCTTCACTCGTAAAGTCATTCATTCAGGCAAATACCCTTTCACCAGCTCTTTCAACCCTGTGCCCCTCATTGTGAATTGACCGAGGGGTGACGGCCAAAGCTTTCAAGTCAGGTTGTCATGCAAGCTCTTCTCTTTCATCCCCGATGCTGACTGACGTGGCAAAATAATTTTTCGAGGGTGTCATAACAGTCGACCACACCGGAGCATCTCTACTCTGTCAAACATCTTCCCAGGTTATGGCCCGAAGACTGACATCAAGCTCGTTGTTAGCGGGGTGAACAGCTGGCAGTTCTTGCTTGCTTTAGGGCAGTGCTACTGTAACGCTTTCTCTCTTTCTTACAGGTAGCCAATGATGGTATCGTTTGCTCGATGCGCAAAGAACCCAGTCTTTTGCATCAGGGACCCCATTATCTGTATACAGTTAGGGTTAGGCTTAGCTAATCAGCGTGGCCAAATCAACAACTCATCACGGCGAAACCGAAAAGAGTGGGGATCGAGGAGTGAGAACCGCTTGATTGATTGATTTTCTGCGTTGGTATCCGGCTATCCATTTCGTTTGATTGACAAGTCATGATAAACCAAGTCCTAGGGTCCATGGAGAGCCCTAATCTTCCCTCCGAGAGGCCGATCATCATTCTCCCCGCATCGCTAATGTCGCCAAGCCTGCGACAACGGCCCAAAACCGGTAGATCAAGTCACCGAATCTTTCTTCTGTGTCTAATATCTTGCGTCCTGGTCGAAATGAGCTGGTATCTGTCGATCTTAGGCTCTCAATTTCCCCGAGAGTCCCCCGTTGCGGGGTTATCATACAGCTTGTTGTATGGGGTTACAATGCTAAAGACTTGGATTGTGCGGCGATGCGTCATGAGATAATGTTGGTCGTCATCTCTGGGATGCATGGAGTTGGAGACATGGAGACTGTCAGTCAGGCCAGTGAAAATAGCTATATATATCATGTCAATCCATGCAAAAGTTGCGCAGACTGCTCCTGCAGTGTCAATCACGGATTTTTCTCATTGATTGGAGGTTATCTGTGATCGACAGGTATAACCATGTTTTCCTTGATCAGACTTCTTCTCGTACTGCTCGTCTCTTTGGTACTGGCGAATGACTCTGGAGAGCCCCGTCACCGTAACTATGCTCGGCAGACTGTGAAGTATGCACCCAAGGTCCCACCCCTTGACACCGAGTGGACCAGCAAAGTCGGTACCAATCCATGGCCAGAGTATCCTCGACCTCAGTTGGAGCGATCTGAATGGCAGAACCTGAACGGGATCTGGCAGTATCAGAATGCGTCTGGGTTGGAAGCGGTTCAGGCTCCCCCGTTTGGGCAAGCCCTGGCCAACGAGGTCCTGATTCCGTCCTGCTTGGAGAGTGCTCTGTCAGGTAGTATCATTTCCTTGGATTGGATACACGCTGAGAAACTGACCACCGTGCAGGCATCCAAGGAAACCACACTCTTTATTCCTGGCTGTCCACAACCTTCACGGTACCCAAGCCATGGAGACACCAGAACGTGCTCTTGAACTTCGGGGCTGTGGACTATGAGGCAACCGTCTTTATAAATGGGAAGCAGGCGGGCTTCAATCGCGGGGGATACTTCTCTTTTACCCTCGACATCACCCAATTTGTCTCCTTCGACGGCTCGAATGAACTGTGAGACTTACGCCAGGATGTATTTCAATCGCTGACTTTATTAGGTTGGTCTTCGTGCACGATCCCACGGACAGCGGTAACTATGTTATACCAATCGGCAAACAGAGACTCATCCCAGCTCACATCTTCTATACGCCCTGCAGTGGCATATGGCAGAGCGTCTGGATTGAGTCGGCTCCAGCAAACTATATCACGGAGTTGGACATTAGTGCCGGTATGGACGGTCAAGGTGCGTGAAAGTAGGTCGAAAGATCATTTCTCTGGACACTGACAGTAGAAGTCAACGTAACCGCCCACAGCGCCAGTGGAGGATCAACACCAGTGGACATTGCGGTCTTTGAGGGTACCTCAAATAAGAAAGTCGCCTCCCACAGGGGTACATCCGACCAGCCATTCAGTTTCAAGGTCGAGTCTCCGAAACTGTGGTCGCCTGATTCTCCGACTCTGTATAACATTAGCGTCAAGATGGAAGCAGACGAGGTCAAGAGTTATACCGGGTTCCGTACTATATCGAAAGGAACAGTCAATGGGATCTTGCGGCCTTTGATCAACGGTGAATTCACATTTGTCTTTGGTACGCTTGACCAAGGCTATTGGCCGGATGGTATCTACACTCCTCCGAATCTTGAGGCGATGGTGTACGACTTGCAATTTCTGAAGAGCCTGGGTTTCAATATGCTTCGTAAACACGTAAGCAGCCATCATTCTGGGGCGTTCGTTGCTCACCGAGTACCGCAGATCAAAGTCGAGCCGGCCCTCTTCTACCGAGCCTGCGATGAACTCGGTATCCTAGTCATTCAAGATATGCCCTCGCTTCGACCCTTGCAATCGCGGAAACTACCCAACTGCACCACCCAGACCATTTTGCCAGACGCGGCCCAGCAGCAGGAATTCAACAGACAACTAGAGCTACTTGTACAGCAGCACAAGAGCTACCCCAGCATTTTCTCATGGGTAGTGTTCCTCACAACATTATCCTTCAACCGTTGACTGACACTCTCAGGTGATCTATAACGAAGGCTGGGGTCAGGTGACCGACTATTATCCGGAGATCGAGTTAACGGAGCGAGTTCGCCAGTTGGATCCCACAAGGCTGGTCGATGCGACGTCCGGATGGATTGACCACGGGCATGGCGACTTCAGCGACAATCATCATTACTCATACCCTCAGTGTGGCGCACCGTTTTACTCCATACAGTCAAGTCCTCACGACCCCAGCAGAATCGCCATCCAGGGAGAATTCGGAGGCGTCGGCACCAATGTTTCTATCGAGCAGTAAGTCTACTCCTCCCACAGTGACCGATCAGCCAGTTGATGTAAGCAGCTTGTGGAACAACATCGACGCCATCAACGGAATCAACATGACTTACGAGATCGCCGACAATTTTGAAATCTGGAACTACCGTAGCCACCTTCTTCTGAGCGAGCTCAAAGACCAGATCACGCGATTTTCATGCAGTGGAGGGATCTGGACGCAAACAACTGATGTAGAGGGCGAGGTGAATGGCTTGTTGACCTACGATCGAAGGCTGAAGCGTGTGGATGAGAAGATGTGGAAAGAGGATATCCAGGCATTATATGACGCGGCGAAGGCGAGGACTTGAGCTATTTCACCCGGTCAAACGCGTCTGAATTTGTGTTTCTGCGAGTTCTGGCTGCCCCTGGGCTGTTGACCTGTCTGGATATGATCACCTGATCGGTGTTTGTTAAGCCCAGACAAAGTCTGTTATCCATGGCCTAATACATTATTGACAGCTCAAGGAATTCTACATCTTGAACCTAGTGCTTGAGTATGGTCTTACTGGGTGTAGATTCAGAGAGCATAAAGTGGCCTTTTGACAACATCCAGACTACCAAGATTGCTAGTCTAAATGATCAGGGATCGACCCATAGAGAAACGGTTATCCTAAGCAGCAAAAAGAAGCCAAGGCGAAAGTTTATGTGGCTTATTCCTTGACTCAAGCCACGAGAGTTTAGCAACAAGTTCGGCATTATTGGCAAAGCTGGATCGTACAGAGCTCTTCCACGAACGACGCATACTGAGGATGCCGCGTATCCGCAGCCACACAGGGTAGTCGATTCCTTCATTGGGTTATGGTAAGCACTAATTTCGGTGGTCTGCTAGCATTGACCTTGCTAGGATTGAAGACATTCAACTAAATCTTGCTGGAATCTGTCCCGGAAGTGGACCATGTCCTCGGTGATGAATGACTACCATGGCTTTTTGCTCCATTTCTTCAGACTCCAGACTCCAGATTCCCGCATCCATGATCATTTACTCGAATTATCTTCTTCAGACTGCGAAATAGAAAGACCAAATACAACGATCAAATTGTATCCTAAAACTGAAACTCAAAGAATATCTACAAGCCCTCGGCATTCTTCTCCGCCGCCGAATGAACATGCGAAGCCACTGATCCGGTCGCAGGGAGATCCGCAAACGCACGCGCCTATGACTTAGCGTCAGCCAGGGCCTACTAGAAAAGGATTCCTATTTGGATGTCAAGATGTCAAAGAAAGCAGCTCTTACCTCCTTTGAGGATAAATTTCTGGCGTCGTCCATCGTGATCTCATTCAACGGTTTGCTCAAGACCTGCTCGGCCTTGGAGGCCCATCGAATCTGGTCCGGATTCACCTGGTCTCGGGGGTTTTTAGCCTGGAGGATCTCGCTTACACGGAACCACTCAAAAGTCTTACCTGAGTATACTTCGTCGGCAAGCTCTGCACTCTGTTGGGTGATGTAGGTGATTTCCTCGTCGGTGAGAGGTTGACTGTGTCGACGGCGTTGGTGGACTCGTTCGCGAAAGCGAAGAGTGTCCATATCCTCAAGGTCAGACATTATGTGCTGAGGGTGTATCTTTCAAAGAACTACCTTTGGCGAACATGCCGTCACATTCGAACGGTGGAAAAGCTATATAAATTGAAATCGGAGGCGGGGGGGCGGCGGATGATGAAATGCGAACACACGTTAGGAATTTCTGAAAGCTATCGTGAACCAAGGAAGCCATAGTTTGGCACACTCGCCCCGTGCTTCAACCAATGTTAAGCAAGAGAAGCTTAAATTCAATGACACCCCTGTGACGGCGTGGCAAACTCGCATTGCCCGACTCTAGGGTCAAAAATCGGAGTCCAAGAGGCTGCACGAATGTCTGCTCAAGGAGGGCCAGATTGCTCCTGCGGCAGTATATGGCCACTGAATTCCCTTCCATGCTATTCGAGGCAAGTATCAAGGCTCCCTCAGGACGATGCATGATAATGTACAGGAATTCTTACTATGTAGCTGAACGAACCTTAAGAATGATAGTGGATGCTGGCTTTAGGGAGAAGAAATAGATGCTCTATTAGTGAAGAGTGTCATTCATGCTAGGCAGGATCACAGGGGAGCAAGCAGCTGGCTTTATGGCTACATCAGATAGGACATAGCACAAAATGAGCAGGCTCAGGATGACCTGCATCGTGATCCTCAGAAGCTAACAGTGATTCTTGACAAACATCAGACCACTGCTCTCATATGTCCGGCACATGTTTTTCGCGTCATCCTGTTATCAGGCCTTTATCCACAAAGTCATCACGCTGATTCTCAAAACGCAAAGGAATTCTATGAGTTGACTTTTGATTTGTAAACTGCTCCTAAATGATAAGGTGAGTAACATATGGAATATCCTTGTTCCTAAAACCGCTACCTCTACACTGCTTATGTTCATATAGTTCTACATGGACCTGCCAGCATTTTACCCTTATTCACATATCTCCATATTTTGTTACCTGCTGATCTCAGTATTTACATGGTGGTTAACGAGCGTGGATAAAGACACCAAAGATCCATGAACCTTCCGTCATCCCTCTTTGCAACCAGAGTTGTGACCACTAAGAAAAAAACGAACATTCAAGCGGCCATGAAGAATTGCCAGGTGGCATCAGGAGCCAGAGAACTGCCCACACCCAGAGGGGCAGCGTCATGACCGCCATCATAGGCGATGAACGAAACCGGCTTGGAGCAGCCCTTGAAATCGGTGCGGACCGAACTATGGCTGCCAGACCATGGCGTGCCAACGTTGGCTTGCTGACATCCATTGTTCTGTACGAACTTCTGGGCCAGGTTGACGCCCCCTTGGAAGGGCAGCACAGGATCGTTGATGCCGTGGATGCCGAGATAAGCAATTGGGTCGCTACCACCGTCGCAACCGCTGATCACACCACCACTCAGGACAGAGACAGCCTTGAACTGCTGCGCACGGGAGCAGGCTAACGCATACGACATGCCGCCGCCCCAGCTAAAGCCCGTGGCAAAGCGAGAGCTTTGGTCAACGCAGAGGTCACCCTCGACTTGCTTGATGATAGCGTCGATGAAGGCAACATCCTCGCCGCCGCTGTTGGCCCAGCCGGCATTCTTGCCGTTAGGGGCGACGAATATGGTGCTACCCTGAGCACGCGTCTCGAGGCCATACCAGGGCTGAACACTTTGGCCGTCAACAATGTTCCACATGTTGCCGCCGCGCCAGTGCAAGCCAAAAACCAGGTGGTGGGCTTTATTCTTATCGTAGTTGTCAGGGACCTTGAGTATATACTCTCGGCCATTAATGTTGTGGACACCGCTGGTGAGGCTCGGCTGCTTGCCGCAGCCAGAGGATCGAGATTCAGCGAAGACTGAAAGCGTGAGGGCGCTCAGCGCCAAGATGGCCGAATATATCATGGTTGGAACCATTGTAAAAGTGGTATGCTGATAGATGAACGTGACAGTAGGTGATAATATGGAAGATGGATGGTGCTCACAGGGCAGCTGAGAGTCTTACGAAGAAATGTCTTCATGGCAATTGTGCCTGGTATTTATGTTTTGACCGTCAGGGCCAGATGATTCAACCTCCCGTATGAATGTTGACCAGAAATCCCTTTCCATTGCAAAGGAGAAGATCTGCGACATGCTGTCTTTCGGGATGGACTTGCCCCCAGTTGTGTACATCACCACCTTGACTTGCTAGCACACCTCCGCTCAGCCCTGCGTCAGAGACCCTTTTCCGGAAGGCTTTTGCAGATGAGCGGGCCTGCTGTTACAGCTAAACAAATCAGTGAGGAAAATAGGGTGCCAAGACGGCTGCTAGCCATTTGGCCCCCGGAATTGGTCCGGAATGGTTAACCTGAGTCCCTGAACGTCTCATCAACCGTTTGCCAAGATAGGAGGGACCCTTAAAGCCCTGCCTAAATGCGCTGCTCGGTAAGTGAACATACCTCTCATCTGCCGACGTGCATTGCTTTGCTTGACTGACTGACACATTCTGTGACAAGGATGTCGCATCTTGCAGCCAAATGCCCACTTGCAATCTGCGATCTACTGTAGAATGCTGAATATGGCATTAAACCTCATAAGCGGTTCATCTACTCCATACTTGAGGTTGGCCAATTGTCTCACTCAGCCTGAGACAACTACACTTGTTGTCACTTTGGGTTAGAGTGCATAGTGGCGCTGACCGCTGGACCCTGTAGCCGCTGAACTTCAGGACATATCCAACGAGACATATGAATCGTCTTCGGCAGGCGCAAGGTATCATATACCGGAGACTATACGCTCCGGCCAATGTACGCCCTGAATCCTGATTTTCTCATGTAATCTGCCTGAATGTCAGTGTCCAGACTCTCGAGTCTCGAGGACAGGCAGTAGACAAGTGGATCGATTCGCCAAGTCTAGAGCCAGGTGTGTTGGACTTTTCCGGCTTTTCATGCTGTCACCAGATAGGGTCTTGTGCCAAAAGGCATTGCCCTTCATCTCATGGATCAATTATCTGCTATACAGGCCTTGAATAAAAGCTACAAACTACGGACCGCCTTTATTTCTTTGCGAACTTTGACCAAGTCTGGAATGGAAGCATAGCCTGAGATATGAGCTACAGGGTCCTAAGAAAGAAAAGGTAGGCGTTTGTCCAGCCCAAGAGGAAAAGACTTAAGAGTCGAGCTCAGTACCCAGATGGTCCCTGATAGTCCCAGGGTCTTATGGGGTTCCTTCAAAGGACATTTACTTGAAACAACCGAAGCCCTGGGCGCTTGAGGGTACGAGGAGCTGGATCCCCCGACCCGCCAATATGAAGCACGGCCAGCAGCCCTCCTTACTTGGCATATTTGGATAGAGTGATGCTATTCAGGATGTGAAACTCGTTCGAAGAAAACTCACAGTGGACAATCTGGGTAAGTCGATAAGGCACTGAGAACTAGATTTATAAGGAAGACGAATTCCTCTATTCGTTGACCTCAGCAGATTCACCGCGTGTCTGTCTCTACGTTCACTTCTTCTAACATAGCACTGCTTTTGCTTCTTGGGCCGGTCCCCTTCCACTCTTTCTTGTACCAATAGCTCTCTCGGTCTTTTTTCTTCTTGCACTTTTCAAGATGAAGCTATCCCTTCTTACTGCCGCGGCCATTGTGCCATTTGTGTCTGCCCATTATTTCTTTGATGTCCTGGTTATCGATGGCCAGGAGACTAAAAGCAACGAGTTCGTCCGCTCCAACACCCGTCAGGCCAAGTACAACCCGACCAAGTGGGTCAACACTCGCGACGACATGACGCCTGATATGACCGACTTCCGCTGCAACAAAGGTGCTTTTACTTTTGCTGGCCAGACAGGCACGGCCGAGGTCAAAGCCGGCTCCAAGCTTGCGATGAAGCTCGCCGTCGGCGCCACTATGCAGCACCCGGGCCCTGCCTTGGTGTACATGTCCAAGGCTCCAAGCACCGCCCAGAGCTATGAGGGTGATGGCGAATGGTTCAAAATCTACGAAGAGAGCGTCTGCAACAAGAACGCCGACTTCACCAAGGATGCCTGGTGCACCTGGGACAAGGACCGGATTGAGTTTACCGTTCCTGCTGATCTTCCCGATGGAGAGTATCTCATCCGCCCCGAGCACATCGGTATGCGCATCCTTCACCTTTGTCCTCATCCAAGAGCGTCACGAGACTAATGCAAATACAGGTATTCACGGAGCCCACGTTGGAGAAGCCGAGTTCTACTACACGTAAGTCGCAAGGTCGGATTCAGCAGCGTGATTAGATCTCTCTGACCAGACTCCAGCTGTGCTCAAGTCAAGGTTGTCGGCGGCGGCAACGGCACCCCCGGACCCACGGTGAAATTTCCCGGTGCATACAAGAAAGACGACCCCTCCTTCAACTTCAGTATCTGGGGTGGCTACAAGGACTACCCTATGCCTGGTCCTGCTGTCTGGACCGGTGGCTCTAGCTCCAGCTCGGTCTCCAAGGTTGCCAACGTCACTGAGTCCGATGGTGCTTCCCAAACCGGTGCTTCTTCCGCTCAGGAAAGTGCAGACACCTGTGGCTATGACTATAGTCGCCAGCACGCTCGTGACTTCAAGTACTAAACTTGGACTGGCCTTGTCTCTTTCAATTCTACTGCCGAGTTTGGGGATCAGAATTTCCCAGAAGCATGTAACTAGGTGCTCTTCTCTTCGACTTTACACCGTCCTTCATTGATCAATCTACGCTGTGGTGATATCATCTTACCAAAATATATCTCATTTACTTTGACAGAGGTCTAGACACTCACCACACACTAGTCGGAGAGATATAGTCTGGCGATGTGGACCAGCCATGTGCCAGCCGGTGATTCTTCCATGTTATGAGAAAACGACATGAAATGAAGTAAGAATAAGGTATGGACTACCAGTCTACTAGTAGTATAGACTATACTATAGAGGGTGGGTTCCGAGTCTAAAATTTGGTACCGAAACCGCAGAGGTTCGGTCCCAGACCCAGACCGAATGCAACTCTAGTTATTTATCTGTGGTTATAAAAAACAGCAAGATCTTTGCCATTTTGTCAGATACCAGGTGACCAGCCCAGCTCTGGGGTCGCTGTCAGTTATGAGACTATTCGGCTACCTAAGAAGCCTCATTTAGTAGCCACGTGTCAGCTGCAAGAGGATAAAGATAATGAGAAATGTCCAACCTGCAGAGGGTTCACACCACCTGAGACTCCCTGATTGGGGAAGGAGTGGATGCCGAGGGCATGTGTTTGGCGAATCTTTCTCTCATTTCAGCTACTCTCTTTTGTTCCAATCGACCACCCCAAGTATATGATCTAGCTCGGGATATTGCTTTCTCAGCCCAATGGTCGCGTCGTATGAATATCCTAATATATAAACATAAGCATTACTCCACTCCTTCAGGTGGCGTCTGGATCGTACAATTCACCGTTTTGGCAACTTGCCAGGTATACCGAATGTGGAATGCGTGCAACAGCCTCAGCAGTGAGCTGTTGGTTGACGCTCAAATCGAATATGAACCACCTCTTCAGCGGTCGATCGGAATCGAAATCAGCGGGGATGTGAAGGTGGTCGTAACAAGAAGGTTGGAGTTCCGCATGAAACTCCCTACCCAAGACTTGCTTGCAGAACGTCTCTCCAAGAGTGTTGTGGCGCCGTTGAGGGTCACCGGCTATATCGGTAACGCATGTGTATATCATAACTCGCCTTGGGGTATCATCCATGATGGTTGGCCTGAACAGGTAAATCATGAACTGTACGTGCCAACTCAAGGGATGCGACTGGAGCTGATATGTAGTTAACTAAGGTATTAGGTATCGGATTTAGTCATATTCCGCAAGGTTATGATTGGCTATAGCGGCGTGCAACGTAAGTCCGAATCCGACCCAGTGCGGTTCCCTAGGCTACCTTACTGGCTAAAGTATGGGGAGGTGGGTCCGGCAGTTGCCGAACTATAGGTACCCATACTGACAGACGGGAGTATTGATGATTTGCAATCTTTATGGAAGGGCTATAAAGCGGGCTTTATGTCTGAACTTTCCTCTAAGTTTGGTCTCTTGTCTCTCAAACAAAGCTTTCTGCGTCTTGTTCAGTTGGCACACCAACACTTCGTGAGGAGGCGGTAACCAACAGGACTTATAATTGACTCTGGAGGCTGTTTAGTATTATCTTCGTCGTTCAATTGGTTCTTGCTACGATCTACCAGTGGTAAGAGAAATTGAGATAAGTCATCAATTCGTAAAAGCTATCAAGCTATCTGTGGTAGACCTCGTAGAGTCTCCGTGTGCTATTGCACTTCAAATCTCCGCATCAGAAGATTAAATCATTATCCTTCGCTCAGTAAGATTGAGAACTCTATGACTCGACCCATTCGTGTCATAGGCACATAACCTTGGTAGGCTCAAGCCACAGGAGGGATCCTGCCACGGCACTTGCCACGAACACAAGACTGGCTAGGGGGGCAATCCATGTTCATGCCACAACGAGTTTTGACCTCATCGCGTCCCGCCAAGGGATACTCTAAATAAAGTTAGTTATTCCATTAATAGAAATGCAGGCAAATGGATACTCACCGTCACTCTCGGCATTGGCGAAAGGAGGGATCCTACCACGGCACTTGCCACGAACACAGGACTGGCTAGGGGGGCAATCCATGTTCATGCCGCAACGAGTTTTGAACTCATCGCGTTCCTCCAAGAAAGACTCTAAGTACAAAGTTAGTTGAAATTATAAATAGAGACGCAAGTGAAAAATAGATACTCACCGTCAACCTCATCGCTGAAAGGAGGGATTCTGCGACGGCATTCTCCACGAACACAGGACTGGCTAGGGGGACAATCCATATTCATGCGGCAACGAGCCTCTTCCTGAGTGGCTTCTGACGGAAAAAGAAGTTAGCTGAGCTGAACATCCCACCAAAGAGAACAAATACTCACCATCAGCACGGGCAGCGAGGGCACCGGGGGTAACGCAAATGCTGCGGTAGCAGATCTGATGAGGGGGGCACCAGAGGTTGATATTGTTGCAGTGGCGCGATTCAGCCTCCTCAGTGTCGGGGTTGGTTTCTGTAGAATTGAGTTGTGAGTATAGGGCTATACGAAAAAACGAGGGAGACTCACCCTCATCACGCGTGGCAAGCTCAGGAGAGATCCCGACCTCGCATCTTCCAGTATAGCAAAGCTCGTAAGGTCCACAATTATTAATACCGTTGCAGAGGCGAGTGGTAGCATCGTCCTCGTTAGCGTTGAGGGTAGTCACTGAGGCAGGAAAGTTAGTCATGCGTCAAGATGTTAAGGCAGAAAGGCTCTTACCGTCAGCGATGGTAGCAAAGTTTCCAAGGGCTCTGTTGGCAGGAGTAGCATCATCTAGCTTCGTTAGATGCATGACTTCCTGTATGTGAATAGAAGACTCACTGTTGACACCAACCACTCCATTGTTGGCCTCAGAGAGAGCAACGGAAGCTATGAGAGGGGCAAGAAGGAAGGGGATAAGAGCGTGAAGCTTCATCTTAAAGCGAAGAGATGGTACAGCTTAGGATTGCTTAGTGCTCTAATGAAAAAAGGACTTGCTGGAGCAGAAGAAGTAGATGAGGGGAGAGCGGAAGTAGGTGGATGAGAGAAAGAAAGAAGAAGAGATGGATGATGGGGTTTAGGGGGTTTTTATCGACTCAGTAACGCGAAAACAGTGAAGAGGGACACTAATCTCATGAGTAGTGTGAATGTCAGTGAAAATAGGCAGAGACTTTGCGAAGGTACTAGAAGTGAGCAGATGGTAAGGTGAATATTTACTGCTCTATTCTCACTAAAAGCAAGTCTACTGCTATACTTAGGACTCTGAAATATGGCTTAAAACACTTTAACAGCTTGTAAGAAAGCGGAGAAAATGAACCTCAGTATTCTAGTTCTATTTCTCCCCAGGGGCCTAAGAGGTCATCGAATAGCTTTGTCATGAACGGATAAAGGTTTTCCAACAGATGACCTTAGATACAGGAAAGTCAAGTTCCATTCAAATTGTTTTCCAAAAGCAGGTAGATACTCCTAAAGGCGCCACCTTGTAGATCAAGGCAGGAGGTAAGCAGAACTCATAGAAATCTCATCAATTGAGCCCGTGGGAGGAGATTTACTGAATGAAACAGTGCCTCGAAACCTCTTCTACTGCCAGGACTCCCCCTTTCTTTCGAATAACCAGAAACCTGCACATCACGAATCTTTGGCCCAAACAGAACTCATAAACACTGGACGGCAGTGATCCGCTCCTCTCAGTCAGAAAGAGAAAATGAGGTGAATTCAGGCAGCACCTCCATTGTCTAATTCGAGATATGGCCGGGATTGCTCGTGGTTTGCGAGTCCTAGATGTGGAATGCAAAGTAATTCCAGATTTCTCGGGCATCAGAGTAAGACATAGACGCGTCAAGCTTGAGAGACAATAGAAAAGCAAAGCTAACGTCTTTATAGTTCGTTCATAGGTTCCAGATGATGCAACTAGCGACTACTTCCACTGCTTGTCTCTATAATTCCGGCTCAAACGCCATCTTGATCGTTTCCTGAATCAAGGGCATTTCTGTTCAAAGAAGCGCTTGAAGATTGGAAGTGCCCTTTCAGATCATGTCTTTGCTCTCGAGGAAACAGGAAATTTGGGGGCAGTCGACCAGGAAATATGAACGTATTGGCTCCCGCTATAATCCAGTCATGCGAGTCAAGAAGCAACAGCTACTGTCATACAAGCTGGGTCAATTCAAAGGATTGGAATTGCTATCACATTGACGATCATTAGTGCGGAATTTCCACCATTGATTTCTGCTTAACGTAAATCTAAGGGGACTAGGACTTGAAGAGTTTTATGTGCGGAATAGACAAGAAGCAATAGGAGGGTAAAGCCATACGATGAAGCTGATATATTTTCCGCAATCAATGGGCTTTATGGGCTATACCTGACTAGGATCAACTCTCGAAAGTCCACTGACAGTTGATCACCAGAATGTATAAATGGTCAGATGTCAGCAATCTCCCATACACTGATGATACATTGCTAATATGGTCATGCAGTTCTATTTATATAAGCATGAAGAAGTCACTACGATGAATTTATTCTCCATCTACGCTCCTAACACTACGTTCACATGGACCAACATGATCGACAATCAGCATTGACACGTCACACAAATCGTCAACACTTGGCGCCAGCAGGTGGACCTTCTTCAACTATCCTAATTCTCTTCTGCAAATGAAATAACTGCTAAATGAACACTTGACTCGGAATCTTCATCCTTGACCCACTCAACAGGTGCCAATCCTTCGACCCGTCCGCCAAGTGAGCTAATCGTCGTCGATCTAACTACATCGTCCCTTAGATGCCCGATACTAATGTCGCATCCATGCTAGCACGGAGATTTCACCGTTTTTAGAAGGAGAAGAGCAGCTCGATGACCATTGACGATCATAACTCCTCAGCAGAAGTGACAAGGTGTCAGCCTCCTGCGCAAAGTTCTTAATTGCAGGACAACCCCTACAAGTTTATTTTGCAGTCTTACCTCCTTCTACAGATAATCTCGCACGAAGCAGGTCGAAGCGAGTATTGACATCGCCATGGCTCTCACGCCAATCCAAGTCCTCTTAGGACTGATAGCTCTCTATCTTATTAGCAGACTGTTCCTGACAAAAAGTGCCTCCGGGCCTCTCCCGCCTGGTCCTTCTCGAAAGCCGATTGTGGGGAATTTGAGCGATCTGCCATCTCCTGGTGAGCAAGACTGGAAACATTGGCTCAAATACAAGGATTCATACGGTATGACTACGACTCTCTTGAGTGGGTCGACTGGTTTGTAGCGGATTCTTCTGACATTGAACAGGACCGATTAGTTCCATCTCCGTCCCGGGCCAAACCATTATCATCGTCAATGACTCGAAAATCGCTTTCGATCTTCTCGAAAAACGCTCCTCCGTCTACTCTTCGCGGCCGCGCATGGTGTTCGCTAGTAAAATGTGAGCATTGAAATTCCGTCGAACGACTTCAGCTCGCAAATAACGCTCTCAGGGTTGGTTGGGAAAATGGCCTGGCCACACAGACGTACTCGGATCGATTTAGGGCATACCGCAAGGCCATGCACCGTACCATAGGCTCCAAGGTCTCCGTCATGCAATTCAATCCTCTCCAGGAGGTGGAAGTCCGTCGCTTTCTACTGCGCGTACTGAACAATCCGGACGGCTTGATTCAACACATTCGCACGTAAGATATCCTAGTTTTCTAACACAGTACGGATGATGCTAACTCAAGTAGTGAGGCAGGCGCAGTTATCCTGAAGATTGCATACGGGTATACAATTGAGCCTCACAAGGCTGACGCTCTCGTGGATCTGGCCAACGAAGTGCTTGAGCAATTTTCTATTGCCGCGACGCCTGGCACATGGCTTGTTGACACCATCCCAATATGTGAGAGTTCATTGTTTATCTCGCTGCCAAATAGCTGACTGGATAGTAAAACACATTCCGACCTGGTTCCCGGGGGCAGAGTTCAAACGGATCGCGAAGCAATGGAGAAAGATGGTCTTCACCTTGGCTGACAAACCATACGCCTTTGTACACCACCAAATGAGCAACGGCGCCTACAAGCCATCGTACGTCTCTCATCTCATGGAGGAGAGATCACCGGAAACTTTCACCGAAGAGGAAGAACATGTCGTCAAGTGGAGTGCCGCCTCGCTGTATGCAGGTGGAGCTGATACTGTAGGGCCCATTACAGCGAGAATTATTTCTCTGACACTAACGGCTGAATAGACGGTATCCTCTCTAGCTTGCTTCTATCTTGCCATGGCCATATACCCCGAGGTCCAACGCAAAGCGCAGCAGGAGATCGATCGTGTCGTCGGTCCGAACAAGCTGCCAACTTTCGCGGACCGCGAGAGACTTCCTTACATTAATGCGGTTGTCAAGGAGGTGCTGCGTTGGCATCCCGTCGCTCCTATGGGTCTCCCGCACACTACCACGCAAGATGATGTTTACGAGGGATACTTTATCCCCAAGGGATCTATGGTCCTTGCAAATATCTGGTACGTTACGTAAATCCTGAAATGTACTCCATTCATTCTGATGCCAACAGGGGCTTTACCCACGATCCCAACGTTTACCCCGATCCAATGACCTTCAAGCCTGAGCGTTTCCTCGAAATCGACAGCCATACCCCCGAGCTAGACCCCCACACACTATCCTTTGGATTCGGACGTCGTGTTTGTCCAGGAAAACTCCTTGCGGACGCGACTATCTTCCTCAGCGTTGCGCAGTCATTGGCTGTGTTCAACTTTAGGAAGGGCGCAGAAGATATCCAGCCCAAGTTTTTACCCGGTGTTATTAGCCACCCTGCCCCGTACAAGCTATCCATCACGCCTCGGAGCCCAGAACATGAGAAGCTAATACGGTCGGTTGAAGTTGAGCATCCGTGGGAGGAAAGTGATGCTGCTACTTTGGAAAAGGTGGTGTACTAGTCTGCTGTTCATGATCTTTTAGTGCCCTATTTCTGGTCACACTTCGCAATGATGAATGAAACTTATGTCAGGCCTGCATAAGGACCAAGTTGAAGCTAAGAGTAATGAGCTATTTGTCTCGTCCGGCCTCTAATCACCACCAAACAACTAGTGTGTTAATTGACCATAAAATAGCAGTAACGAATGCAGGGATTTTCCCCTCCGATTATTAATAGCAATCCCAGTACCCCCATGGCATCTGTACAACCCTCATCATAGTCTGGTTAAAGTTCCAGCAAATCAAGACAGACCAAAGAGCGACCAGTAAGACCAATCCACAAACCCTGTGCCAGCGTCTCAGCAATGGAGTGCCTGGCTTTCCTCTATTTAATCTAGAAATAATATCCGCCTCTCAATTTGGCCGAGCTGTGATCCATCAGGATCAGTCTGTAGTTCAATGATCCACATCGATTCATCAACCTACTTGTTGCATGCCTCCAACTTCGTCATAAGCGAGTTAGCTTGCCAGCTATCAGACTTGCAATTTACTCTCAAGGTTGTCATTCAGACCCCCGGGCTGCTCGTTCTGGGCCTGTAGATCCTCTATCTTTGTCTTCCGTGCAACAAGATTATCAACGATAGCTGAACCCATCTCGAACATTAGCATCCACTGGACATATAACAATGGGCACCAAAGCTTACCGCGAACAAGCCAGTGTTCATGGTTGTAGACATACACCATGGTCTCTTTGCCGTTTTCACTGAACCGAAATACAAGAGTGGGTCGTCCATTGAGTCTGGCCGTTGAGAGTATAGGTCAACATGGCGATCAATTTCATGGTACTACCGCAGATACGTACCTCGCCGTATACCAGGCTACACCAGTAGTACAGAGAAAGAATGCAGCGATGATGATGATTGAATAGATTACCAACATCAGAAACCACAAGGTCCAGGCGCCAAGGGTGTTTGTGGCCATCCTGCGTGTGTATCTGTAGTGTAGGCAAAGGACTCGATGAATGTGTGTAAACAAGTAATGAAAGATTTGGAAATGATGGTCAGCGTGAGAGTTGAGATACTCGGACTTAGTGATACGGGTGAGAGATATCGAGAGAGAGTGGGTGACTTCTGCGAAGACTTCAAATCAGCTTCTCTTGTTACCTGGACTATTCGAATGAATCACAGATGGGGAACTCACAAATTGCTTACAGCGTGGGGAAAGGGCAACCGTCGACCATTTTGTGGTAGAGCCCAGCACCCGATACTGAGAAGAGCTCATTATTGTTGATGAAGCGGTGCATTTAGAAAAGAAGAAAAAAAGAAGGCTCTTCTGCTCGTTGTCAGATTCCGTGCAAGCAGTAGTAAACCTCTGTTACTCTCAAATCCCAGCCCTGTTCGGTTTGATAGGAAGGCATGGGAGACTCCAGACTGGTCAGAATGCTTTGACTGTGGCCACATAAAATTGGGTCGGAAAATTCCATGAAACCATGTATTTTTTATACCCGAGATACTATCCACAAGGAGAAGACCTGAGCAATGTGAATTTGCAGGGGATTTGTTTGGCTTGCCTACGAGCAGTGGTGTCTCACAGCAGAAGGACTCGAATAATCATGTGATGCCATACTGATTGCACCTCACTGCCTATTTCTTGACACTCAACTTATTGTATCATGTCGCTCAGTGATGCTCTCATCTGTTTAAGCAATTTTGCACTTCTATGTCCTTCGAGTTTAATATGGCTGGGAGCATTCTGTGAGTATCGGATCCCATCAGTTTTCAGTGTGATCATCTCGAAGTTGAGATTCATGTACTTAGAGGTCCAAGGCAAGTGCCAGCAACTTGGGTCCTCGAACACTTCGTTGTACGATTATGAATCAAGCTAATACTCATACTAGCAAATGTGCAGAAAAGACAAATACCTCTATGATCACTGGTCCGAAAACGAGCTGTGCAATTATTGAGAAAGCCTCCTTTCCTTTTGAAGCCGCCAACTATGCCCAAAAATGAACACCATCCATGCTAACGGGCTCGAACTGATGTACAAAAAGGCAAGCAGTGTCCCTGTCCAGCCTATATTGATTCGATCGATAAGCGGTACGGCAGCGGCAGTCGCACCAGCTCCAAACAAGCATCGGAAAAAGTTTGTCGCAGCGGTGGCAGTAGCTGGCTTTTCAGCATGACAGTCGATGATCAATGTCGTCAAAGTACTGGTAACCCCGGATAATGCATGAGCCACCAAGAACAACATGATGAGCGGCACAGCCACCTGAACTTCAAAGTTGAGAACCCAGGCATACACAACAATGAACACGGAAGCGAAGTATATCAGTGGGAGAGTGATCTGAAGTCTGGCCTTCTCCAAGGGAAAACTCGTAAGTTTGAGTTCTCTCTTGTCATGGATATCAAGTCCGACATGATGCGCAAGACGTCGAAAATTCCAGTTCATCAAGGTTCCGGCTGTCCATCGCGAGGTCAGGCTTCCGGCTCCGTATGATAGATAACATAACCCAATCTGCAGGGCATTGAAACCATAGTGCCTTCCCAGCTCAAAGGGAAGGGTCGTCGTGATGGAAAGATAACCCGCATATATGATGGCGCTGAAAAGGATAGTGCATGCAGCTTCTTTGTCCCAGACCAGTTTGAGGGTATTCCAAGGGCTCGGACGCTGCTTGAAGGTGGTTATTGTCTGGTATTGAGGAGGCGTTGACTGGCGACCTGGAAACAGGACGTGACTCAATGGATAGTTCCATTTCTGCGGGGCGATGCTGCCATTCCCTACGACGGCACGGCAAGTTTCAGGCAGCAGTGTGACGACCAACAGGAGCAAAAACCCAGCAAAGATCGTCAAAAACCAGAATGCACTCCGCCAGCCAAAGCAGTGCGTGAGGATTCCTCCTACTACTGGCCCAAGAGCAGGGCCAACGGTCGCTCCTAGCACTGTGTATGCCATATATTTCCCGCGCTCCGCACCCGATACCACATCAGCTGTCGTTGCAGTGCCCACGATGACCACCGTGCTGCTGAAAATACTTTGGAGACATCGAAGTAGGATGAGTGCAAGAAAGCTTGTTTGGACGGCCAGGCCGACATTTATTCCAATATACAGGATCAAGCTGATCATGAGGGTAGCTCGACGACCCGTCTGATCTGACAAGCTAGCTGTTACCAACGGTGCGACTCCTTGAAAGACCTATGCTTTGACTCAGCCTGCTGTCATTGGCTTGAAAAGGAACGCAAAGACTCACCTTGAAGGAAGTGACTGTAAGATTAATCATGTTGTTCGACACATGAAGATCCCGCGCCACTTCTTCAATACCTGGGTAATAGATGCTGGCAGAGAGCGGGGACAAAAAAGTTGCCAGAGAAGCGATCGAGACGGTCAAAAGCTTTTCTTTCTCTGATAGCACACTATAAAATGGCCCTGCAGATTCTGACTCGGCCCCTATTTCTGTCTCACACAATATCGGTAGCTGCTTCTCGGCCGGAATCTGGCTCACTATATCTTGCTTCGAAGGTATGGGACCTAAATGCTTTCCGTCCGTCATCATGCTCTGAGGCAGATATCCTGCTCTGAGAGAACTAAACGGCTTATAATCAAGCTTTCAGGCTTTCTTCTTAGATACCCTCTATAGGAGCCCCAAATAGCTGGATCATTTTGCCATGCAGTGCTGAAAATCTGGATGTCCTCGAATATTGAGTTAAGTCGGTTCCTCTCTGCGCACCTTTGGGGATTGGCCAAATCATTCTTATACTAGTCGTCACGAGTGGTGCGATGCTGAATTTGCCTCCTGCTCATACCGGGATTGGCCATGGAATGTATGAAGGCGAGAAGCGCAGGATTACAACCGCCGACCCGGCTATCAGGCCAGAGAGCCTTGCCTGTGTTCAGCTTTACCGGGTCACAAAGACGCATCATTGCATCAAGTGGGAGTACGCACACAAGCACATTCCAGATTGCCCCATTGTCGAGATCACCTTCGGTGCTTAGTAGTGCTAAACTAGTAACTATATCAAAGTGCTTACATGATACAGGTACCCCTTGCTTCCGAAGAAACAGTCTGTACAACCCTTCAATGAAAACGACAGCTTATTTGTGGCCCCTCGACTTGCAACATTCTGATTTGCATACAGACGGCTCTCACCCTGCGGATGTGTTACGTTCCTTCTTGAAAAAGGTCCGATCTAGGTCCGAGTATCAGACAAACTGCGACGAGGCTTGGAAGACTTGGAGAACTAAATGGAAGGGCAGGATGAAGAAAATTGGAAGATCGACGTACGTTACATGCTTGTAGGCCCCTTACATGGCCAACACTGTATGGTGAGTCGGTGATGGTACTCACCCAAATGGCCACACCTTTTCCTCTCTTCCTCGCTAAGGACAGCCCTAGCCATTTCCACAATGTTGTATGGTGTCCTCTCCAATTGGAGCGTACTAAACTCTAGAGCAGGCTTGATTCGCTCAATCTTCGTGAAGCTTTTCTATCAGGGGAATTACCTGTTACCTGTAATTCACCTGCATTGTGTGCTGCCTTGAACTTTAATGCTCCTGCGGATGTAAGGGGGGCTTTAAATTCCCGAACATGGACATGAAACAAACTATTGGATGGTTATCCGTCACTCCCTGCATTGCTGCAGGGCCTATGGTCATCAAGTACTTATCTAGGCCACCGAACTGGAAGCCCCATTGTTCACGAAAGCTTCTATAGGTACCAGTGCCGTCTGTTATTGGAACAAGCACATGCTCTCATACCGGAAAGGTTTTTTCAGACGGCTTTGAGAAAGGCCTACTGGAAAGGGCAGCTGTTACGAATTAAGTTGGAACTAGATAGTCCTCATTCCCATGGTGGCCGCTAGAATGTCTGACATGTATAAGCCAGTTGCGACGCCATCCAGCCTCCTCAATCAGAATTGCCTATGGCTCGATCACTATGGCTGATTTCACTCCGCAGAGTACAATATGTCTCCTACTCTTTCAAGTATTAAGCATTGCCTTCGCCCCTGCGACATCATGGGACCCTCCCACAGCAGAAAATTGGTCTATACAACGAAAATGATTTCAGATTCACTCAATACATGGATAAGAGAGACCTGACATGCTATTAAGTTTTAGATCCCTCTGGAAGAATTAAGGTCAGCTTAAGCATGTGAAATAGACTGCCGTCTGGACCTGAATTGCGTTTCACTAGAGCAGACCGGATCATGCAGTGAACTGTCAGTAGGAAACACAAGCTTCATATGAAAATTCCACTGGGGTTGTTTCACAGAGTACAGCAGCAGCAAAGTGACACATCAACACGTCAAGCCCCGATCTACGCGCTGTTTTTGTCCCCTCTCGAGGAGATCCAGCTCAGCAAGCAACGCACAAGCTGCAATGATTCTAAAGCTCTTGAGCTCGCCATAGTCCTTTCTACGACGATACGTGCTATCATTATTCTGTTCTCCGGCAACTTGGAAACACGCAAGGCAGAGTTCTAACGTCTCTGTGCAGGATTCATGGTTTGTACGCGGGGTTTCCACCTTGCGATGTCTATGCATCTGGTCCGTGATCCACGATGCAATACGCTCAAACTCATCAGCCAGTTTTTGCGATTGATCGCGCTGTCGACGAGTTTGCACGCCGGACTTGTTAATGACAGAACCAATCAAGACCTCTAGCTCGCTAAGCGGCTTGACTGGATGGTCGGAGTAGTTGTTTCTTGCGGAAAAGATTGCGTCCTCGTATCTGGACGTGGGTCAGTAATTGTATGGGATTGCGAACGAAAGGTGGTCTTACGCCAACCGGATTCGCTGAGCTTCGTCTATCCAACGCTCGCATGAAATTGGCGAAAATACATCGCACCGCCTGGTGGTTGACCAAATAAATTCGTCCCAGAATAAGTCTTCGTCCGGAGCTGTTTCTGAATGGATTTCATCGAACCAGATTTTTCGCTCGTCTATCGCTCGGTACAGCTTTCCAAGGACCTTTTCGGATTTGTAGTACTTGCGTGGTGGCTCGAGGTCATCGTCTTCATCATATGTGGTCTGCAAGACATATCGATCCATGTAAATGTCTGATTTCGCATAGATGTGCGTCTGAGGCCCTGGAGCTAAGCTGCATATCCACATTATCACTGAGTATGATGCTCGGAATGTTCCACCAGAAAGGTGAAAAGGGAGAAGACGAAGGGGGGGTCTGTCAGAAGCTTACAAGTCTGGCCTGAAGTTGTTCGCTTTTGGAAGCTCATTCAACTCTACTGGAATCCCCGTCTTCGAAAAATCCACCGCCGTCGAATGTAACTGCGCAAGCTTTTTACAATCCGGGTGAGACGTGCCTTCATCCTTCTGGTCCGCCAGGATCATGTGCCTTGTAGCGATAACTCCTAGATGATCGGTCCTCATGAAATCGATAAAAAAGTTAGCCATATCATCGGCCGTGACAAGACGGCCTATGTTGAGAGGCTCGACGCGGGGGTAGTCAGCAGGCTCGAATGTACGTTTCGGTCGGGACTCCGGATCCCAGATAATGTTGTAGATATCGCCGTCGAGATCTCCTCCACTCAGTTTACTTGGAAGGTCACGGTCTCCCATCGCACTAAAGACGATACAGTTTCGATGTTGTCTTAATGGATGGTTCACGGGTGGAAGTACCTGGTAAGCCTGCTGTATATCTCCGTTATGGAGAGCCGGCGAGCGCGTTACCAGAAGCCTTCCAGGTGGTGGTGGTGGCTCAAACCGTCCTTCTACGGTATCAAACGTCACGTACACCTCGTCGCTCTGCAAGAACCCGGTCTCGTCCACGATACCGAAAAGTGTTATTCCCTTTTTTACAGGAATGCGGGCCCTGTGCTTCAGCAGACGCACTTCACGGAGTACCACCGCTTCGACTAACGAGCGCAGAAAAGGGTCCTTTTTGTAGTCAATCCGAAGGAGGTGAGCTTGACGAAACAGTCTAAAGAGCCCGAAACAGTACCCGATGGCCTGTCTTTTAATGAACACAGCAGTGTTATGCGCGCTTGCGGTGATCCTCCGAAGGTACTGCAGTTGAGTAGTCTGAAGATTGAAAAACCAATCCTCCGCAACTCCCATATCCTCCAGGATTTTAATCATTTGTCGGTTTAGGACAAGTGGGATTGGTTTGGCGGCCATGTCGCAGATCTCCAAGTCACTCATATCACCATCAAATTTGATCATTGATGGTCGAACCTGTATGACAGAGCCAGGAAGTCTGCTATCAACAGCTATCATGCCCTTGGATCCTCCTAGGCGAATTTGGAAGCAGGTAGGCTTTCCCTTCTTGGAGGGTATATTTGACCATATCTTATCGAGGACGTCGACAGAAAGAGACCCAACTCCATCGCTAAATACTCTTGAGCCATCTTTCGATACCATGTCTGGCACTTCCACTATATTGATGTCATTTTCCTCGATTGGGACGGCAAACGGCGTCTCTGAAAATGCTTGCCCAATACGTGCGGCACACCGAGCCGGAGAGGTTATCTTGGAAAAGTCACCAAGAGCTTTGATGATGCTGAAATACGTCTGAAAGTCGCCATTTTCGTCGAAGAAAGGGGAAGAAAACTATTAGACAGGAGCCACATTAGCTAAGATGCTTTTGAAGCATAAGCTGATTGCACTTGCCCACACTGAATGCGATCTGAGAGAAGAATGGGACCATCCAAGAAAAGAGTAGGTCCGGCCTGCAATCTGGATTCCACGAGTGAGGACATTCTTGAATCGAGAAAACACATCATCAAAGTTGACCTTGGAGTTAAAATATAGATCACCTCCCTCTTCGTCGCAGAATTGAACTCGAATGAAATTGTCGTGATGGTTTGGAAACCGCCGGAGAATGCGGTTGAAAGGCTCGGGTTCTGGGCCATGGAGGGTAACCCGCGTTGGGGTTACCATTACCCTGTGAATCAGCGCTAGATTCTGGGTTGGGCCCAAGACACCTTGTCCCTGCACGAGGCCCAGTTGTATATCCTTCTCATTCTGGCGAAGTGCGGCCATCAAAGATCCAACTTCAAGGTTCGTGGGATCTTCATGGGGAAACGGCCAGGGTATCATGTCAAAGAGTTTTCGAATAGCCGGGACAGATATAAGTGGTCGGCCTGCCTTTTTGTTTGCCCTGTATTCTTTCCAAAGCTCATTTGCCAGATTAGTTACTGTCTGTGGCAAGAGATACCCGTTATAGACAAGCGCTTGGAGCTGGCAGAGGACGCCAAAAGGGAGTAAGTTCTCCCTGGTATAAGAGGCGAGTTGATTCCTGAGGAGCCTCATATATTCTTCGAAAGTCGCCCGGTAGGATGTTCCTCGAGCGCTCAGATCGTAGTGTATAATCGTTACCTCCCAGTCCTTCAGTTCTTGGATCGCCGCAAGGAGGTCAATTGGGGAGACTCTGAACTGGTACTCCAAGCATTGCCCAACAACCTCCGCATGCCGCTGGTCCAGTGAGCACTTGCGTAATCGTGTAGGTGCCGAGCCATTTGCAACACGGTGAGTGTTGATGCTTAGATTATGTACCTTCGTCATCAGAATATCAACAGAAGTTTCAACCGAAAAGAAGTATGGGACCGTGGAAAGAGTCAACGTCAAATCTCCATTACGGGACCAGATGAGACTGACGACTGTACTGAGAGGAATTCGAATGAGGCGATTAGTCCTTAACTTGACAATAATCACACGCTTCTTGAATTTCATGATACCCGTATCTTGAAATTGCACTTCAGGGACGTAGGCCAGTTGATCTCCAGAGAACTCGCAGTAACCACAACTAAACCCCTGCAGACCAAGAGAGACGGACATCTCTTCCTCATATTTGTGTATGCTATCCTTCGTACGTTGCTCAGCCGTATGCTCTAAGCTACGAAGGGCAAACTCTTGGGGTGGGCGCTTGCTTCGAGCGCAGAAAACATCAGTGCCCATCAGTTGCAGCTTGGACTTGAGGCGCGGTCGCCCACGAGAGCCTATAGCCTGAGGAAGCTCTTCCTGACCATGAGCGAGGATAAATCTCTCACCATCCTTGCGCTGAAGAAAGGTAACATGCCCGAATTGTTTTCTCTTTGGCTTCTCACAGAGATAGTCGACGATTCCTAATCGCTTGACGAAAGGTTCAAGCTGCTTTTTTAGAGCTTCGTCCGTCAGATGACTGGGGAGATTGTGAAGGAAAACTTCCATGTTGATCGACCTGTTGAACTATACGAGGGAACGACAAACATAGATGAAGGAACTGCGACATTGACTGCGATGATGGTGAAGGTTCAGGAGAAGAGGAGTGCGAGGGGGAAAGGTGCAATGGCAGTGGCTTAGTGAGGGGAAGCAAACAGAAGCAGGCCAACTCAAACGGAGCTCTCGACACATCAACAAACCTCGACTCTCGCCCACTTGCTCTCTCCGTAAGGGGACACTTGAGAAAGAGCGGATCGAGTGAGCTTCTGTTCAACCAAACTCATGCCCCGAACCCGTTCACAAAAGATGCTAACAGATAATAAAAACCGAATTTGCTTCATGATCGCGCCGACTCCGCGACTTGATCTGTAACAGACAAGCAAACACCTCCCGAAGGAGCAAGAATCGAGAAAATTATGAAAGCATGAATCGCTTCATGTTCAGAGTTAGTACTTTCGCATTCCCGATTAGAGACAAGCAGCATCACTCCGCTTCAAACAAGGAGCATTGCATCATCTCTATCCCTTTAATTTTTTGTCGCGTCTGATGTCTGGATATCTGCTGATTGTCTCTCCATGTCTTTCCAGTGGCAGTGTTTTGACTTGATACACTTGATTCTCGCAAGGTTTGGGCTACGTGCAGCAAACATATCATTGATCACCTTTTGACAATGGTCATATCGAGCGCGATACAATGCGTTTACTCCACATAGGACGGATAGAAATAATATTTTCTCTGGAGAAAGCGAGAAGAATCTTCCCAGGAAGGTCTTCACTCCTGTCGTCCACATGAGCGGCACCAGAGGTGGCTGATTCGGAACGCTCTACAACTTACTATATAGCGGTGCAATGATCAATCACACTGAGGAATGCGAGTTTACTCACATGTGGTTTCTTTTTCCTCGCCAGTCATCTCCTACTTAGGACTGGGCTGGAATGCCGCGGCTATTCTCCAACAGGGGCGGCGATACTGAATTGGTTTGCTGATTTTCGAATTTACAACTTATATTGCGTTTCATGAAATGCTGGCTGGCAACACAGGTCAAGATTGCGCCTCTAGGGCTGCATGTACATACAAGAGCCCAGAACCCACTGTAGCAATGCGGTTAACTGCCATTGTCCTCATAGTCAGTGGGAAAGACTTCCTCAGCGGGCACTTTCCGTTTGGGCACATTTAGTGGAGAGCTCGAGGGACTCTGGTCAGTAGACAGACGCTGAGTTCAGGCAGAAGATCTGGATTGCAGCCTTTCTACAAAAATAAGAGTGTGATGTGTCTGGGATATAGGCAAGAACTTTCTCGAGAAACAATAGAAGGGTGATATAAACTACATCAATCCAATAAATGCGAGTTTTGGGATGAGAACTCAGTAGAATGGATCATGTTGGCGTTTTATATCATCGATGTCCTATCATCGACAGATCATTTAGTTGTGAGAGCCCAGAGCAAATTGTCATGGACCTGGCTGTTCCATCAAAATATACTCATTTAGCCCGAAGATAGTGACCAACTCTTCATGGATGACCAGGACGAGATTATCTAGTATAAAGAAGCGGCTTCCTTTCCTGCTGCATCTTTCCTCTTTACTATTGTAGAAATTTCTAGCCGTCATGCAGGATTCATCAGTAGTATACTTCTGCTCTCTGAGCAAATACTTTCTATTGTGATGTGTTGAGGCAATATAAATATCATTGTTGTTGAATACTGAGGGTTGAGCAACACCAGCCGCGTCAGGGTGCAAGTGAGCCATGGTTGATGGTCAAGCATCATCGTCTAGTGTAAACGGGCTTCACCCATCCAACATTTTCTTCTTTCTTACATGCCACCCCTGCCCCTCAAAATGGCTTCAAAGCTGGCCCCCGAGATCATAATTCAGATCTTGAAAAGCTGCGAGACCTTGGAAGAAGTTGTGGTCTGCGCTTCAGCATGCAAGCGGTTCCATGATGTGTGGTTGTGCCATGCTTCTCAGATCACATGGACTGTTGGGCAGAAGCAGATTCTGGCATTCGATGATGCCTTGATGGCGGTAAGTGTTGTCAAACTTGTAGAAGATATCAAGAATGACAAATGACTCTGCAGGTGCGAGCGACAGAAATCGTGCTCGAAAGCTCGCAGAAAGAAGAATTACCCCCAGATCCGTTTCCACTTTCCACCTTGAGTGGTGACATTTACAAGCCGTCGCTCAGCGAATTCCAGCAGGTGCGCGACTATGAGCATCTGGCCAAGTGTGCCGAACACATCTATTTGGAAGATCAGGAAGACTTGAAGAATGAAATTGAAGGTGAAGATCCAGACGGTCCCACACTGTGGGTTCTATGGAGAGAGCGATTTCACAGTTCCATCTACAGAGTCCTCCTGGGAGGTGCCGTTCTCTATCGCGCATACCAAGAACCGATGTACTCGGCAGCAGACTGGGGAATACCGAATTTTCTGGAGAAGTACGTTGATTTTTTGGCATCCGATGACATGTCGAGCGAACCAGTGGGTGGAGACGAGCTCGATTATCTCATGACCTTTACCCCCTACAATCTTGGAGACAGCGGAAGCATTCATGGCGCCTTCAAGGCTCTGGCAGAGCTTCTTGTTCAGCAAGGCAAAAAGCGCGCGCACCAGCAAAAGCTTCCTGCGCAAACCACAAAAGTCCTTCCCTCCTTCGCAACGCCTCAAGGCCTCAGTTCCTCGGAGGCAGCTGTTCTGTTCATCGAATTAAGTCAGCTGCTCTTTGCCATGGAGGTTCTGACTGGCGTTCAGGCTGCGACACCCATCATTGTCAATGGGAATGGCTCCGAAGATCATGGAAGAACAGTATTTGCACCAGAATTTCTTTACAACCCTGCCAGAACGATTCCCGTTGTGTTATTCGGGAACTTTTTTCTGGAGTATATCTCAACTCCCGCGGTGGCAGCCGATGCAGTGAACTCTCATCTCGTCGCCAGTCCTGTTTATCGTCCATCACAGACAAGATCAGGGCTTGGTTTTCAGTATATCTACCAGTTCCTGCATGCTCTGCACCGAATGGCGGGCCGTGACAATGAATTCTCCTCTCAGAACCCAGCGCCATATCCCCACCTTCAATTCTTCCAGTACATGTTTGGTGAGTATCTGGGTCTCCGGTTCGTTGACAGTGAGTTTGACTGTCGTTACGACGAGTTCGCGAAGGATGGTTTCCTCTTCGCAGAACGAGCTGATTTTCTCGCTACCTCTTGGTATACTGAGACAAGTGGTATGGCAGCCCTAGCTGCATTATTTGAGCCAGTCGCTTCAACTACTGGAAAGACTTGAGGATCTTGGTCTAGCCTGCGATATTGCTATGTTTGCTTCAAGCTCGACCAGCAGCTAAATACCTTTGGTAGCATATTTGCTTGTTCAATTGGCTATCAGTGAATTAAAAAATCTAGTTCGTTTTGAGTGCGGAACAAGTGAAATTATCGTAGACGGACATCGATGGCAATGAGGATACTTCTGATCCTTGGTTGGCTCTACCACATAATGACATAGCTATGATACTCTTTTCGAAGAACACAACCACACTTATAGTTAATCTACGGCTGCCATTTCATTCACTAGAAAGTGCTGATGCAGATGCTCCCTTGACCCATCCAAGACATGTCAACCCACCTGGATACACCTGCCCGCATGGCCGAACTGGAACCCCAAAACACCTCCAACTCCACCCCAAACACCATCTACTCCCAACCGCACCGCAACCAAACCTACTCCAGCACCAATAACCCCCCATCCGAAGAACTCCCCCGCCGATCCCTCAAGCCAGGCCTCTACGTCCCCACCCTCGCCTTCTTCTCCCCCGAAACCGAAGAGCTCGACGAGTCCACAACCGCCCAGCACGCCGTGCGCATGGCCAAAGCAGGGGTCATGGGCCTCATCACCCAAGGCACATACGGGGAAGCCGCACACCTCTCACACACAGAACGGGGCCGCATCACTCGCACCACCCGGCACGCCGTCGCGGCAGCGGGGTACCCGCAGCTCCCGCTGATCGTGGGATGCGGCGCGCCGTCCACCAGCGAGACGATCGAGCTGTGCCAGGACGCGTTCGAGGCCGGGGGCGATTACGCGCTCGTCCTGCCTCCGTCTACCTACAAGGCGCAGTACACGCTTCCGAGTCTCAAGACGTATTTCGAGGACGTCGCTGGTGCGTCGCCCATCCCCGTGCTGCTGTACAACTACCCCGCCGTGACGGGCGTGGACCTCGACGCGGAGACCATCGCTTCTCTGGCGCAGCACCCGAATATCGTCGGGTGTAAGCTCACCTGCAACGACATGGGGAAGCTGAACCGGATCGTGGCGGCTGTGCAGCCTGCGACGGCTGCTGATCGTGGTTCGGGGTTTATGTGCTTTGGGGGCTCGGCGGATGCGACTCTGCAGGCGTTGGTGGGGGGTGGGTCGGGCGTGGTTGCGGGATTGGCGAATGTTGCGCCTAAGGCGTGCGTGAGGCTGGTCGAGTTGTATCATTTGGGGGAGGTTGAGGAAGCGAGAAGGCTTCAGGGGGTGGTTGCGAGGGCGGATCGAGTGGCTACGGAGGGCGGGGTGGGTGCCGTCAAGAGTGGATTGAGAGCGTGGTTTGGTTATGGAGGGTTTGCACGGAGGCCATTGCGGGGGACGGAAGCAGAGGAAAAGAGGGAGAGTGATGCAGAGGGGTTGAAGGAGGTGGTGGAGCTGGAGAAGCGGCTGTAGTGAATCTGAAGAGGAACAATCTTATGTTGATGTGTTTCTTATGAGCAAATGTAGCCAGACTTAGGGCTCGAAATGCCGCCCGAAAACCCGGGGGTGGTGGTCCGGGTCCGAAGGCACTACTGCCCCGATCAAGGTTTACGGTCGAACTGTTCATGATCTCGATCTTGAAAATTCCGGAGATAAAATAGAGAGAATTGTTTGACTAGATCGCGTGTGCACTTTTCGTGGTGCATGTTCAATAGGAACCCTTGAGTATTACGGTGGAGGATGGCAACGGCAGCAACGTAGTACTTTCAGCCCTTCCTCGGACTACCACGCCACAAGTATGCATGAATATGAAGAGAGATTCTCCGGCCTGAAACGGCGACATCTTGTCAATTATCTTCCCTCCTAATGAAGTTCGCCAAACTTGCCCACAGAAGGTATTAGGGATGGGACTTCCTTCAGTCGCACTTGAAAATGGGCCATCTCGACCTGAATGCGCATTCTCAGTCAGTTCCAGCATTTGTAATAAGGGCGGACATTCTGCTGGTGGACTTGACGCAATAGAGTCAAGCAGTAGCTATGAGATGTGGACGCTGATGGGTGCCGGATCTGGTGCGGAGAGATCCTCGAGTATTGCATCATTATTGTTATTAATGAGAGCTCGTCCATTGAGACATTTCTAGGAAACCAAGCTCACTTCATCTCAACATCTCGTTTCATCACAAGCCCTGGGTGCGTTCTGTGTTTATGTTATACAGGTAGCATCGGTTGCTCCCTGCTCCAGCCCCTGTGTCTGTTTTGCTGTGATAGTCACTGCCCGTCTTCCCGCCGTCAACGGCTTAAAGGCGACCTTTATATATGTAATTCCATTTGAAGCTTTCGAATATGGCCCAACATGCGTTTTATGCATCGCTTGCCTGATGATTGGCCCCATGCGCGGAAACATTTTCGGTTGCCGAGAAAAAGTCCCCGAGCTGACAGGTACTTTGGCCAAACATTGTGTCAAGCTGCGGCACTTGCCCCAAGCCTACAGCAAAACCGTACGGTATACGTTCCAGGAGTCTTGTCTCGCAAGCGCTTCAGGCTGACTGGCGGTCGCAGGTTACCTTGCTTGGACGCAAGTATTCCCTGTAGGCGCGCAGGTAGCCAGTTCAGTTGCGCTTGGCGACCTTGAGATGGCAGAGATGTGTCACTCCGACAGTTGAGATGAGACATTCGTAGTCAATTGTGGGGGACATGGAGTCAGTCAAGAAAGTTCGAAGCCGTCGCGATCCTGCTATTGATACCATGCGATTGTACGGTCCTTCAGACCGGTCATGGATGCTTATTGAACGTCTTTTCAATCCGAGAATGAAATGCATTACTTTCTTGCGGGCGGCGAAGAGGTCTCTATACGATCGATCGTCTTTTGTGCCCATTCAACCTTGATGAACTACGCGAGGCGTACATCGCAGACATCATCCTGCGTAGAACATGTCTTCGATGGAAGTTGTGATCAAGGTGAAACAACAAATGGGGCCATTTTTTCGCAAGAGGATGGCCAATTGAACCTTCTCCGGTTCCTGGCTATGCATGTGCGGGAGACCATGACCGGAATCGAATCTAGTCTAAGCTTGTCGCAGAATTTGTGCTTAGCTTGGGAAGGGAGTCTATTAGACAGTTAGACTAGTGCTCGGGGAAGCTAAAAGCATGAAGATGCAGCGGGTCATGTCCGATTCATGCAGCTAGAGTGCTAGATGCTCGCTAATGCGACGTTTTTTTCCCGAGCTCTCGAATTTGACAGTGCAGGGTAAAATTGAGGCAAGAGAGAAAAGCAATTGGACTGGCAGCTCAAGGGTTATGACATACCAAGAACAGAGAGCAGTAAGCCGTCTATATCTTCCTGCTGTATAATCATTCATCAGCAGTGCACCTGGGAAAGATGGCTATAGCCTATATGATATGGTACTACGGATATCAGCATGTGAATTGTGGACTGAGAGTCACCACTCACCACTGACCAGGTTTGATTCTAGACCTAAGGTAGGGCTCTAGTAGTGGGGTATGTGGGCTACTACAGCACTCTAGGATGGGTTAGTCGTAGGCCTAGATAGTCTAGATATCTAGTGCCTGAAAATTTGAGAAACATTCAGCAAAATGAGAAGAAAGCTACAAGATTCTCTCATTCATAATATCCAAATGTCAAGCAAGACTCTTCACTCCTTGTATATCCAAGGGGTAGTCCTGGATCATGGGACAATACAATAGAATGGGTTTATGACATGACACCTTTGAAAGAGCATGGTACAATGTCACCGACCCCACAATCCAGAACAAAGAATACAACATACATCAAAAAGAACGCGACAGGGCAAACAAACAAGGAGAGGAATGCAGTCTAACCTTGAAATTAGTACTACTAGTACCTATGTATTCATATAAACCACGAAAATATTAAACCAGTATGCAACATGCCAACGGACCACCGCCGTTATTCCTTAAACTACCTTAGCTTAGGGAACGATAACGCCACCATCGGACCGGCCGGTCAGAGACCCGCGGACATTCGTTGCTACTACGGAGTTTGGCAGTAGTACGGAAATGCGTCAGTCTTTTCGCCAGGAACTCCATTCCTCTTTCAACAACCCCCCTTCTTACTCCTCCCTTCCTGAAATACATCTCCATTGTCGCGTCTCTTTTCATCTCGTTATCCTTCTCCTTCGGAAAGTCATATTCTACACAACCTACCTTCTGCTCTGTCCACATCCGATGCTGTGCTTGGTAACTGCCACACCTCGGTAGGCCTCGTCAGACTTACTCAATCAGCGTCATCTGTCTCTGTCTACGGATAATCGCGCCACTGAGCGCGTCGCAAAGGCTACAGCAATCATGGGCCTCTCCAAAACGAATAGAATTCTGATCTTGCTGGTTATCGATACCGCTTTTTTCCTCCTAGAATTAATAGCCGGTCTGTTTGCTCTCATCACCATGCGCAAGATGTGGATTCCGACTAATGCCATTGATAGGTTATGCTGTTCATTCGCTCGCTCTCGTGGCTGACTCATTTCATATGGTGAGCCGTTGATGAAGAGACTACCTGAGATTTGAATCACGTACTGACATTTGCAAAGTTGAATGATGTCATATCGTTACTGGTCGGATTATGGGCTGTCAAGGTTGCCAATCAGGAAACCAAGTCGAAGATGTACACCTACGGAGTAAGATTTCCCCATATCTTTCACCTATGCGATCCGATCAACAAGAGCGAAGCTGATCTTCTCCTCTACAACAGTGGCAACGTGCGGAAACTCTCGGCGCCTTGGTGAACGGGGTCTTCCTCGTCGCCCTGTGTTTGTCCATTTTCCTCGAAGCAATCCAGAGACTCGTCGAGCCGCAAGAAGTGAAAAATCCGAAGTTGGTCTGCATTGTTGGGTGCTTGGGCCTGTTATCGAACATACTTGGTCTAGTCCTCTTTCATGACCACTCGCACGGTCATGGACATGGAGACGACCATTCGAATGAGGATCTCGAAGATGTCGATGCGGCGGAACAAGGGCTTGGTCATAATCATGGAGAAACTACTCTGGCGGATAAACGGGCCTCTACAGCTACCGTAATCAGTC